AGATGCTTATAAAAGCTGGAGCCACCATAGCAGTCCCCATCAGAGGCGCTGCAGGTTCCAGGAGTCTTGTTGGAGTAAGCCTGTGATAGCGATGCAGAGATCAGGTGTGGTGGCCCTGGGGCTGTGGGTTGCCCTGGTTATAAGGGAGGGAAACAGTGTCAACCAGGGGAAAGGTTTTCAAGGACTGACTCTTCTGGTCTGGGGACTGTTTTGGGGTGAGAAGAGGAAAGATGGGCTTGCTGGAGAAGTTGAGGATGAGGGCCGGATAAATAGGCCCGCACAGATGCCCTTGAGTGTAGCCCAGGAGGGCGTGATTCCTTTAGACTTGGGGTCCCACAGAGCGTTTCATTGGAGGACAGAGCTCAGACCTCTGTCCTTCAGACAGCTGCCTGGGCCAGTCTTCTCTGATCATTGAAGCACCGTCCTCACAGGTGGGCAGCAAGCAAAAGCTCTGGAACCTGACACCTAGGCCTAGAGTTCAAAAGGGGGTTTGGGATGATTTTTCTGCCTTCGCAGCAGTTTACAGGGATGGGTGCTGCTGCCCTGTCCTGAGACCTTTCAGCCTTGAAAATGCAGGTAGTAAAGCCAAGCCTTTTTTTTTTTTTTTTTTTTTTTAATGCAGGCCATGGGCTCGCTGTTCTCAGGTCTTTGGTTCCAGAATCTTGTCCACAATTCTCTGTGTTATTGGGACAGGTAAGGGAATCTGTGTAGACGATCAGTGGGATTATACCCTCTGCCCCCATAAACCAATGCCTGATGCTTTTCTGATCCTTTTCTCCATTACTTCCCTTCCCTTATGCTGTCCTGAAGCAAAAGAGAAGATGGCAGCAAAAGAGAAAGGTGCTTGCCTTTCATGTTAAAATGTAAGTTTGAGCAGGGGCACGGTGGCTACCTGCAATTCCAGAGACTTTGGAGCTGAAGGCTGGAGGATTGCAAGTTCAAAAACAGCCTCAAAAACCTAGAGAGATCCTAAGCAACTAAGGAGACCCAATCTCAATATGAAAAATAAAAGGGCTGGGGATGTGCCTCAGTGGGTAAGTGATCCTGGGTACAATACCCCAGTATTTAAAAAAAAAAAAAAGTGTGTGGGGGGTAAAGTTTGAGTTATAGCTAGTTTCTCTGTTAAATATGTGAAATGCATTCTTTTCATTTGCTATACCAACAACCTGAAGAGATGTTGCTGTCTTTGTTGCAAAATGGAGGAAATGAAGAACTCAGGGAGGGAATAAGCAGTGATTTGATCAGGGTTTCCCAGTTGTCAAATAAGAATCTTATTCTGGGGCTGCAGATTTAGTTCAATGGTAGAACATGTACTTAGCATGCATGATGACCTGATTCAAACCCTAGCAACCCCCCCCCCCACACACACACACACACACACAGAGAAGAAAGAAAGAAATGGCATTCTCTTATGTTGTTAACCTGTTGGAGTGGGAAATTTTCCTTCATTGAAATTTAGTGCTCCTTGTTAAATATTTTTCGACAAGACCTAAACTTTTTTTTTGGTACTGGGATTTAACCCAGGGGCACATAACCACTGAGCCACATCCACATCCCTGGCCTTTTAAATTTTATTTTGGAACAGGGTCTCACTAAGTTGTTGAGGGCTTTGCTAAGTTGCTGAGGCTGGCTATGAACTTGAGATCCTACTTTCTCAGCTTCAGGAGTTGCTGGGAATACAGGCATGGGCTAAGACCTAAACATTCTGAAAGCTGCTACATTGAAGTTAAAAAAAAGTATGAAGGACAAGACTGGAGGGTAGACAAGTAGGATTTCTAACAGAATAGTGGTTAATTATAATAGGAAGGAACTTCAGAGAGCAAAAAGGCAGACACGGAGGAAGGAAGAGGAGAGCATATGAACGTTTATAGGAAGTAGGTACAAGAACAACTTTGGGGAATTGGGTGATTCTCCAGTCTACCCTTCAGGTAGCAATGATAATTTTAATGGTCTCTGTAGTTAGTACTGTGTGTTGTGTACAATGGGTAACTTCTCAAGTAGAAAACTGTATGTGAGGAGGGATTTTGAGTTCATGATGTCATCCTGATACAGATGGTCCCCACACTTCTAGGCCTGTATGGATAATAACCCCAAGAGAAGAGCTGTCTCTTTACAGTAGTCTTAGCAGGAGTTCCAGAGATAGTTCCCCTTGGTATCGCTCTGTAACCCATCCCTGAATCAATTTACAGAATTAGGAAGATGGGAGGGAGAGCAAGGGAGGAAGATTACCTCTAGATAGGGAGGGAGGGAAAGGGAGGGAGAAGGGTAATAGCATGGATGGTGAAAGGAGACACTCATCATTATACAAAATACATGTATGAAGATGTGAATTTGGTGTCAACATACCTTATATATAATCAGAGATAAGATAAATTATGGTATAATGGTGTATTAAGAATTGTAATGCAAAAATAAACAAATAATTTTTAAAAGAAAAAAAAAAGAATTAGGAAGATGGTCTAGAGCTTCCTAGCCATTTGTATGCCATTATTGAGGATGGTATGAGATGACCTCAAACAACTTGGCTAGAGGATCTTCATCTTCTCACATGTAAAGGCCTGCTGGTACAAAAAAAAAAAAAAATTCCTTACAGGTTCTCTGAAGTTAGAATACCTTATTTTTGGATACAGTTAGAGTAGAAAGTTATAGTACTGTAAAGAAACTGACAAATAACTTGATGAAATTGTGTTTTGTCTGTTTTTGTTTTCCCACTACTGGGTATTGAACCCAGGGGCACTTTATCATTGACCACTGAGCTACATTTCCAGCCCTATTTATTTATTTATTTTTAATTAATTAATTTTAATTAGGCATATATGACAGCAAAATGCATTTTGATTCATTGTACACAATTGCAGCACAACTTTTCATTTCTCTGGTTGTACACGATATAGCATTGCACCATATGTGCACTCATACATGTACCTAGCCTTTTTATTTTTTATTTTGAGACAGGGTCTCAATAAGTTGCTGAAGCTGGTCTGGAATTTGTAACCCTCCAGCCTCAGCCTCTTGAGCTGCTGGAATTTCATCCATGCACCAATGCGCCTGGTTGACAAGTAGTTTGATAGGTGTATACACAGTAAGGATTGCTGTGTCTTCTTGGCATTGTCCCCTTTATCATTAAATAACAACCCTTTTTATCCCTTACCACTTTCATTACTCTGAAGTCTGCTCTCTCTGAAAATAATATGGCTACACCCACTTTATTTATTGATTTGTAGTACTGGAGATTAAACCCAGGGTGTTTAACCTCTGAGACATTCCCAGCCCTTTTCATTTTTTTCTTTTTGGTACCAGGGGACTGAACCCAGGGGCGCTTAAACACTGAGCCACATTCCCAGCCCCTTTTTATATTTTTATTTAGAGACAAGGTCTCACTGAGTTGCTTAGGGCCTCACTAAGTTGCTGAGGCTGGCTTTGAACTTGAGATCCTCCTGCCTCAGCTTCTGGAGCTGTTGGGATGACAGGCATGCACTGCTGTGCCCAGATATCCTCTTTTACTTTTTGAGATAGGGGCGATTTTTATTTATTAGAACAAAGTCAACTCTGTGCTGTATAATTAAAATGTGAGGGCTATTATTATTAATGTTTTTTTTTGTTGTTGTTTGTTTGTTTTACTGGGGATTGAACCCAGGGCACTCTACCACTGAACTATATCCCCAGACTTTTTATTTTATTTTGAGACAGGATCTTGTTAACTTACCTAGGCTGTCCTCAAATTCGTGATCCTCCTGCTTCAGCCTCCTGTGCACCTGGGATTATAGGTATGCATTACCACACCCAACTATGAATGCATTATTATTTTTTTAAAAATATTTTTAGGGCTGGGGTTGTAGCTCAGTGGTAGAGCTTGCCTAGCATGAGTGAGGCCTTGAGTTTAATTCTCAGCACCACATATGAATAAATAAAATAAAGGTCCATCAACAACTAAAAAAATTAAAAAAAAAATATATATATATATATATTTAGTTGTAGATGGACACTATACCTGTATTTTATTTAATTTTATGTGGTACTGAGGATCGAATTCAGTGCCTCACACATTCTAGATAACTGTTCAACCATTGAGCTGTAATCCCAGCCCTGAATGCATTCTTTTTTTTGGTGGGGGAGGTACCAGGGATTGAATTCAGGGGCATTTGGCCACAGGCCCTTGCATGCATTCTTAATAATCTAATTTTGAATAAAAATTTAACATTTCTTTACCTTGGCTTCTTCCCTTGTAAAAACAGCTGAACATGGGGCCGGTGTATAGTTCAATGCAAACTAACTTGTGAAAAGATATTAGATGTAGAGGTTAAAAGGGGGTCTACAGGCTCCACTGATCAAGTCATTGTCCAAATATGAGGTTGGGGAGTGGCTGGGTTGGCCTTTTCTGCCCATTCCCCCCTCCCCCTCAGCGCTGCTCTGGGACCTCATCTGCCCTGAGGAGATACTCTCCAGTATTTACAAGATCTGGGAGATCTCAGACAGGCTCTGCCTGGAGATGGAGGGCAAGATGGTCAGTAAAAGAAAGGGTAACATTGATGACTTGCTTATTTGGCCTCTTCCGAAGGACCCAAGGGCGAAGGTACCAAAAGCACAGTAATCACTGGTGTTGATATTGTCATGAACCACCACTTGCAGGAAACCAGCTTCACAAAAGAAGAATACAAGAAGTACATCAAAGATTACATGAAGTCAATCAAAGACAAACTTGAAGAACAGAGACCAGAGAGAGTAAAACTTTTTATGATAGGGGCTGCAGAACAAATCAAGTACATTTATTTCAAAAACTAATTTCAAAGACTACCAATTCTTCATTGGTGAAAACATGAATCCAGATGGCCTGGTCTCTCCTGGACTACCGTGAGGATGGTGTGACCCCATATATGATTTTCTTTAAGGATAGTTTAGAAATGGAAAAATGTGGGGCTGTGATTGTGGCTCAGTGGTAGATCACTTGCCTAGTATCTGTGAGGCACTGGGTTCAATCCTCCACACTACATAAAAATAATTAAGGTATTCTGTCCGTTTACAACTAAAAAAAGAAAGAAAAGAAATGGAAAAAGGTTAACAAATTTGGCAGCTGCTTTGGATCTATCATCTGTCATCATAACTAACTGCTGCTTGTCATCCACACAACACCAAGACTTAAGAAACCATCTTGGGCACATTTGTTTTGACAGGGATTTATTTGGAGTGGAGGCATTGTTTTTTTAAGAATGTCATGTAGGTTTGCCTAAAACTAAAGTGCATTTAAACTCACTTGAGAGAAGTTCTCTTAGTTTAATACATGTTTAAATTAAATCCAACCTGTAGTGTTCCTGGAGAAAGTTAGAGCCTGATTGTAGGCCACCAATAGAAAGCTGACTGTCTTCAGATAACTCCTGCAGTGAGAACTACTTCTGCAACTGGAATAATAAAAAACAAGAATATAAAAAACAAGTTTTAATTCTAACTTATAATAAAGGGAAAAAAGCAGTGCCAACATTTTAAGTATGGAACCTTGTACATTTCATCACCTACAACAGAAATAGTTCACTCTGGAAAAGATTACCAAAAGAATAAAAAGAGACTAACTCAGTTGTGTGTGTGGGGGAGTCATTGTCCATTCTTTGTTGAATCTTAGGAAAATCTAGGAAGGAACTGGTAAGCAGTAGTTAACAATGACCTGGAAGTAATTCTTTTTTACCAGTAGATGCTCATTCTGGTGCTTTCTGGGTGAATATTGGTACTGGCTACAAGAGTTATAAAAGAAGTAATATATTCTAACTATGGCTTGGTGATAGAGCACTAGCCTAGCACATGCGAGGCCCTGGGTTCAATCCTCAGCACTACATAAAAATAAACAAATAAAATAAAGGTATTATATCCAACTACAACTGAAAAATAAATTTTAAAAAAAGAAATAGAAGTTTGTATTTTCCATATTTATTGGAGCTGCCACAATCTCTATTGTCTACACTTAACCTGAGGCCTATATTCCCTAACTTTTATCATACTACACAATTTTGGCTGTATAATGGATTTGGAAAAAGAAAGCAAACAGGAACACTGGGGGCAGTGGTGCACACCTGTTATCCCAGTGGTAAGTAGGCTGAAACCAGAGGATTGGGAGTTCAAAGCCAGCCTCAGCGACAGCAAGGCACTAAGCAACTCAGTGAGATCCTGTCTCTAAATAACATAAAAAATAAGGCTGGGGATGTGGCTCAGTGGTTGAGTGCTCCTGAGTTCAATCCCTGGTATCTAAAAAAAAGAAAGCAAACAAAGAGACTCAAACTGGTCCTGAGCAGGCTAGAAACATGTGCACCAATCAATACACCCATGTACGAGCCATCAGCCATGACAAAGGCAATATGACCAGTATCCCTTCTGCTGTTGACACACACATCAAAAACATTCTTGGAAAAAGCAATGGTGCTTTATCATCTGTGGCTCCAGAGAGGTAGCTACATGGTGTGAGACCTTCTGATAACACTCTGAATGCAAACACACCTCTCAGAAGCTCTGCTGCCTCAAGAAAAAGGAAGAGTAGAAAGGGGCAGTGGATCTCTCGAAGTCACATTCTGAAGGGCTTTTAAAGAAAGCATCTGTTTGTATGACCTGCCTGGCCTATGATGAAAGTACACCAGAGAAAGTGGCCCAGTCCAATGTCATTTCCCAGCATTCTTATGAGAGTCAGGGTGTGTTCTGCCACCTTTCTGAGGGTGGGGACATCACAAATACAGATGAGCAAAGAAGTGTGAGGCTATGGGAACAGCACCTGGGAATTGAAGAAGAGGAAGTTGAAGAAGTCAGGTACTGGTGTGGAGATGACCTTAGGTCAAAAAAAGAATGGATGTGGGACTGCTCCCCAAATCCTGCCAACTACCAATAAAGTCAGAGATGAGCTTCAGTTGGCTAAAGCCAAATAATGTAAAGAGGAAAGGGTGTAAGCCTATAGCAGTAAGCCAGCTCCAACAGACAAGTTAAAACAGTGAAGAGAACCATTTCCCCCCGCCCACCCAGAAGTGCAAGAAAGTTGATGCAGTGATCCAACTGGATGTTAGGATGACTGAGAAGCAACATCTCACAGTACAAGTGCTCATCCTGATCTGGAGTCTGAAGTAGATGAGGAGGCTGAAATAAACAAGGAAGCTTATGAAAACAAACAGCCACATGAACATGACTCCGATGTTGAAGTACAAGATATATTTGAACTGCCATACTAGGAGAGATGTATCACTGTGGCCCTTCTCTGAGATCTGATCATTCAGATCTTTACATCTTCAAGAGGATTAACACTAAAACTGATGGAGGGATCCGATGTGATATGAGCTGAACCAAGGAACTGCATCTAATAGGACCTGAGCTTCCTGTTTGTGATTTGGAGCCTGAGGTAGACGTGGAGCTATGTAACTAGGAGAATGACATCAAAGTGCACGATAAGTTCAATGTCTTTGTGGGGAAATGAGATTCCTTATGCCTGCCCTGCCGTTACATTTTCCATTTTCTGACCTCCTCAAGATAGCTGATGCCCAAGTCAATGAAGCAATCCAGTGTGATCTGAGCTGCACTGAGAAAGAAGATCTAATAGGGCATGTGCCTCCTGGTTCTGATATGGGGCTCAATGTAGTCAGAGAATGATGTAGACAAGCAAGAAATAATCATGAATGACATTACCTTCCCAAAGCAGAGTTTGCAACGTTTTCTATTGCTCTGTGAAAAATTACTAAAAAGGCTTCACACAACCATTTATTATCAGCAACTCCATGTCAGATGGGGCAGGCTCAGCTGCATTCTCTGCTTAGCTCTGCAGTGAACCAAAACCAAATTGCCAGTGGTATTGGGCTCTTACCTGAGGCTCTGGGGAACAATATGCATCCATGTCACTGAGGAAGCAGAATTCAGTTCTTGTTGCTTTCAGCTGAAGGCATTTCCTTGCTCAGGACCTGCTATTAGGGTCTGCAACAGTCTCATCTTGTGGCCCTTTGTCTTTATCTTTAAAAGCCAGTGATGGCACATGACATCTTTCATAGGCTTGGAATCTCTTCTCTTGGTTACCAGCTAGAGAAAATTCTGGAGTTTTAAAGGGCTCTTTTGGTTTAATTAAGAACACTCAAATGACCTCATTCTCCCTGTTTCAAATGACCTCATTCTCCCTGTTTCAAATGACCTCATTCTCCCTGAACTGTAACAACCTAATCATAAGAGTGAAATCCATTTTTTTAATACTGCTGAAGATGAAGGGGAACCCTCATGGGGTCATCTTAAAATTCTGCATACCACAATGATGACAAAGTCATCGTGGCTAAGGTTGGTCTGAGGGCTGATAATGCCTCCTGGAGAGGAATGGAAAATGCAGTTCCTGGAGATGTGAGCAGCAAGATTTGAATAGGCAACTAGCAAACTTTGCTGGTCTGCTTTATGTGTTCAGTTTTCAGTTGAGTTGGAGGTAATTAACTGATAGGGGTAATAATATGTTTGGTATTATTATTAGTAGTATTTTGTGTGTGTGTGTGTGTGTGTGGTGCTAGAGATTGAACCCAGAGTTCAATCATACCATACATATTAGTCAAGTATTCCACTACTGAACTTCATGTCCAGTCCTGTGTGATTTTTACCTGGTGATTTGGAATAGGAGCTAAGGAAGGATGAAGGCAAGGCTGACTCAGTTAGCCTTCTAGTTTTCAGACATAACATCCCACAGGCTGGGAGTGTAGCTCAGTGACAGAGTGTTTGACTAGCACACCCAAGGACCTAGGTTCAATTCCCAGCAAGGTAAACAAACAAGCAGGTCCTCAATATTCCAGTCTGGACTCTTGTGATTTAAGGGAGTATTCCAAGACCAAGACTGGAAGTATTCCAAGGCTCTGGGCTTGGACTCTCTGCTTTCTGCAGAGGGGATAATCCAGTTCCTAGGAAAAGAGGCAGGAAAAGGAAATGTGAGTTTCTAGGACCCCAGCTGAGGGCTGAAAGCAGCAGTATGTGCTTGATGTAGACTGACACTCTTGTCTTTCAGCAGGCTGCACTTTGACTCAGTGAAGAACCGAATTTTTCTTTTAGTTTCAGGTGCCACCTGACCTCTGCTGTTAACCAGTTTAAGTTACAAGAGCACAGCTGCTCAGACAATAGGAGGAGGAAGCAAGTGAGGGGTGTATGCCAGGATGTGGCATCGCTACATTCTTAAATCTTTTCTGAGTCAAGACCCTGAAAATCTCAGTGGCACAAGGTCCAGACAAGTTAAAAACAAGTCAGTCAAGGACAATGGAACACACCTATAATCCCAGCTCTCAGGAGGCTGAGACAGGATCCCAAGTTCAAGGACAGCCTCAGGAACTTAGTGGGACCCTATCTCAAAAAATTAAAAGGACTGAGGTAGCTCAGTGGTTGAGCATCTGTGAGTATACTAGTACCGCAGTATCTCCCTGCCCCCCCACACAAAGTAACACAAGAGTTTTCATTGTTGTTACATGAACCACTCACCTCAAATCAACAGATCATGTCAGGTGACTATAAGCATTACATTTTATATAGCAGTGAGGCCATATTTGCTCGGTATTAAGATAGTCACTTTCAGGGAGGGGGTTGTGGCTCAGTGGTAGAGCGCTCACCTAGCACATGCGAGGCCCTGGGTTCGATCCTCAGCACCACATAAAAAAAAAAATAAATAAAATAAAGGTGTAAAAAAAAAGATAGTTACTTTCATACTGTTAAGTTTAAAAAGTAACAGTACACAGGTGTATTTATGTAAGAAAAAAGTCATATTTGTGATATATACTTCTGAAAGATGTCAATACCAAATTAGTAAGATTGGTAGCCAATGGGGAAGGAACTGGGATAGAAAGGCATTAAGAAGAATTTTCTTGGGGCTGGGGATGTGGCTCAAGCAGTAGCGCGCTCGCCTGGCATGCACGCGGCCCGGGTTCGATCCTCAGCACCACATACAAACAAAAGATGTTGTGTCCGCCAAAAAATAAATAAATAAATAAATATTTTAAAAAAAAAAGAAGAATTTTCTTTTAATTTGGACCACATGCTGATATTATTCATAAATAACTACATTTTTAAAATAAATCATAAGCTTTTATTATACTCAACAACATAGAAGAGTCCAGCCTAAAGCCTGTGGGAAATGAGTCACTCACAAAGGGCAAAAGCTGTGCTAACACCCAAAAGCACCTCCCCAGAGATACCCCACTGTCCTGCCAGGCTGCAGGAGGCCTTTCAAGGGACTCATAGACTCAAGCAAAGAGCAGGGAGGGGTCAATGAATAAGCCTTCCTGGAGGAATTCAGCGCAGTCCAGACCTAGCACCTGAGTGGAGACAGCTCACCATGGCAAGGTGGTAAGAATCCACAGCTGTGAAGCCAGATGTCCTCTGTGACTTGTTACTCCTGGGTCACATCTCCCTCTGTTCTTTGGCCACAGTGTTTGATTTTTGTAGAGAACCTAATTCTTGTCAGTCCGAGTCTGAACTCTCACTTGACTTAGAAGACTTATGCTTCCGTTTTTTCTTCTTTTTCTTTTCCTTCTTCCTTTTCTTATGCTTTTCTTTCTTCTTCTTTTTCTTATGCTTTTCTTTACATTCTGAAGAACTGGAACTGCTCCCATCCTCATCTGAGGTGGAATCCTCCAGTAACTGTTTTAGTTGCTGAATCCTAAACATAAAAGATTGATCAAAGAAATGTGATTTTTAACTTCAATAGGTTTCTTATATATACATAATTTTATTTTGAGTGCTGGGGATTGAACCCAGTGTCTTATACATGCTAGACAAATGCTCTACCACTGAGCAACATCCCCATCTCTTAGGTAAGCATAATTTAAAAGCAGTATCAAGAGGGGAAGAATCATGATTAATTCACTAAAAACAATACTTATCTTTTCATTGTCTTAAATATTTCTACAGGTTCCAATAGTCCTTAAAATTTTAACTTCTAACTGATGCATACTTAACCTTTCCCCCAATTTCACAGTAATCAACTCCTTGAGAACTAATTCAATGCAACTAATTTGAAAACAAACCCTTTTTTTTTTTTTTTTTAACACTCTCTTTAATTGTGGCTAAGAATACATTTTAACACCTCAGATCCTCAATGACATTGAAGATAAACTAAATGACATGGAATGGTCAATTGCACACTATGTGTAGACACCACAGTGTGGATTGCCAACATCACTTCCAGTTGTGTGACTGTACTGGGCCAAGAGGAGGCTTGCCTGCTGGTTTCCTCTACACTGGCCTTTTCAGCAGTGACTCCTGCAGTTATGGTTTGGATGGGAGAAAAGCTAACATATGAGACAATGCAAGAAGGCTTGGAGGAGAAAAATGATAGGGTTTTAAGAGTTTTAACCCAATCAGTAAATTAATCCTGATAGGAATTAACTGAAGTGGTAGAGTGTGGCTGGAGGAGATGGGAATTGGGGCCTGGTTTTGGGGTATATATTTGTATCTGGCAAGTAGAGTCTCTCTCTCTCTCTCTCTGCTTCCTGATCTCATGTAAGCTGTTTCCCTCTGCCACACTCTTCTGCCATGATGTTCAGCCGTCTTCAAGTCCGAGGAACTGAGCCAGCCTTCTATGGACTAAACCTCTGAAACTGAAAGCCTTCTAATAAACCTTTTCTCCTCTAGAATTGTGCTGGTCAGATCCTTTAATCACAGCAGGAAAAAGATGATTAAAACATCTACCCTCCAGTCACTCAGTTAAAATACCATCCCCCTGTTATCAGAATGGCTGTTTCCAATGCTAATCAATTTAAGACTTAATAGGTTGTTGTTTTCATCAGGATGACCTCACCTCACATCCTTTTCATGTCTTTTATTCTCTCGAATGATGTCATACATGGGATCTTCATGTGCCTTAAGGGTCAGAGAAGATTAAAGTCTGGTTAGGCTTTGTGGACTACTAGTTAAATAAAAATTAAGTCCTGGGCTGGGGTTGTGGTTCAGTAGTAGAGCCCTCGCCTCACATGTGTGAAGCACTGGGTTCCATCCTCAGCACCAGATAAAAATAAATAAAGGTATTGTGTCCATCTACAACTAAAAAAATATTTTAAAAATATTTTTTAATTTTTTAATTATGTAATTGAAACCAATTTTAAAAAATTGTTTGATATAGCTTTGTTTAACATGTTCTAATCCATTTTTTTACTAGAACACAGTATTTACTTTTAAATTTAGTTTTTGAATATGTTGTATACTCACATGATTCAAAAACCAGAAAACACAATAGATTATATAATAAAAAGCCTCTTACTAAGACTCATACCCCATCTACCAAGACATCACCTTTACAATTTGTCTTGGTTTGTATGTGAAGCTAAAAGTAGTGTCATGTACTTATTTTCCCAGCTACTCAAGGCTGAGGCTGTTCTAGTTTTTTTGTTTTGTTTTGTTTTGTTTTGGTACTGGGAATTGAACCCAGGGGCACTTAACCATTGAGCTGTGTCCCCAGCCCTTTTTTCTGTATTTTGTTTTGAGACAGGGTCTGAGTTGTTTAGGGACTCGCTAAGTTGCTGAGACTGGCTTTGAACTTGAGCTCCTACTGTTTCAGCCTCCTGAGCTGCTGGGATTACAGGTGTGTGTCACTGTGCTCAGCTGTACTATCACACCAGGTGCAGTAGCACAGGCCTGTAATCCCAGAGACTCAGGAAGATTACCAGTTCAAGGTCAGCCTCAGGAACTTAGCAAGAACATATCTCTAAATAAAAAGTAGAGAAGACTAGGGATGTAGCTCAGTCATAAAGCATTCCTGGGTTCAATCCCCAGTACAAAAACAAAAAACAGTCAGATCATTGTAAATTCATTAAGGCTACAAGAAGAATTTCTCTGTTAGAAAAATATAGGAAATAACTAAATATTATCCATATTATCCATCAGGAAATAACTCCATAAACAGTGGCATGGTCTTTGTAATAATAAAACAGTACTCAAATTGAGAAATATTGAGGTGATTCTCTTTGGTCTACATGGATAGATGACTAAGAGATAATATTAGGTGAAATAAATGAGTTACAAAATGATTGTAATAATAATGTTAAAAATGTGTAATTTAGGGGCTGGGGAAACAGCTCAGTTGGTAGAGTACTTGCCTTGCATGCACAAGGCCATGGATTCAATCTCCAGCACTATTTAAAAAAAAAAAGAAGTGTAATTTGTAAGTTAAAAATGCTGGGCATACTGGCACATGCCTGTAATCTCAACATTTTAGGAGGCTAAGGAAGTAGGATGTCATGTGGGAGGCCAGCCTAGGCAACTTAGCTAGACCCTGTATCAAAATAAAATGAAAAAAAAAAAAAAAAAAAAAGGACTGGTAGAGTGCTTGCATAAGAGTCATGAGGCCCTGTGTTCAATATCCATGCAGCAAAATAAATAAGTACATACATACATAAGTAACATAAAAATGCATGTTACATATCACCAAGGAAGTCTGAAAATACATGCGTCAAACTATTTGCTGCAGACCTCCTTTGGAAAGAGAGACTAGATTGGACCTGGTGGTAAAAATCCTACTGTAAGGTTCCCGTTTTCTTTAAAGGCAATATATTCTTTTAAGGCAAATATATTCTTATATAGATAATTTAAATCGGCTTCAAGTACTTAAATATACTTTATTTTTTCACCTTTTTTGGGGGGCGGGTACTAGAGATCAAATCTCTGAGCTACATCCTCCGCACTTTTCAAAAATATATATATATTTATTTTTTAGTTGTAGTTGAACACAACATCTCTATTTCGTTTATTTATTTTTATATGGTGCTGAGGATCGAACCCAGGGCCCTGTCCGTGTGAGGCAAAGTCTCTACTGCTGAGCCACATCTGTTGACCCCATTTTGATATATGCTGATAACCCCAGTACATTCACCACTTGGCAGAAGCAGTTACTGAACAATGAGTTATCACCTCTAGAAGGTGATTCTGTTAAAATAAAGCAAGGAAATAATAGATCTAGTGAGGAAATATACACACACTTCTAGCTTAATTAAAAGATATCTTTAAACAAAAACTGGGAAATGAAGTCCCTCATTTTTACATGATTTTTTTTTTTTTTTTTTTTTAATGGTAAGAGGAATTGAACCCAGGGGTGTTCTACCACTGAGCTATATATTCCCAGCCCTTTGTATTTTTTTGTTTAGAGATAGGATCTCACTAAGTTGCTGAGACTGGCCTCAAACATACAATCCTCCTGCCTCAACCTCCAGATTCACTGGAATTACAGGGTTATACCACTACATCTGGCTAAAATTCGATTTTTTTTTTTTTCTGTGGTGCTGGGATTGAACCCAGGGCCTTCTGCATGCAAGGCAAGCACTCTACAACTGAGCTATATTCCCAGCCCTAAAACTTACCTTTTATATAACTAAAAATGGGGGGTTTGAATAGATAATGACTACTTAAGAAAAAGAATTATGGTAGCACACCCCTGTAATTTCAGTGACTCGAGAATTTGAAGAAGGAGCATCACAAGTTCAAAGCCAGCCTCAGCAACTTAGTGAAACCCTGTCTCAAAATAAAAAGGGCTGGGGATGTGGCTCAGTGGTTAAGTGCCCTAGGTTCAATCCCCTGTACCAAAAAAAAAAAAAGAAAAGAAAAAGAATTAGGTGTTATTTGCTTATTTTTGGAGGGTGGGGCATGGCAGGGAGTGGACCCAGTGGCAACTTAACCACTGAGCCACATCCTCAGCCCTTTTTTATGTTTTATTTTGAGACAGGGTCTTGCTAAATTGCTAAATTTGAACTTCTGATCCTCCTGCCTCAGTCTCCTGAGTCACTGGGATTACAGGTGTGCATTATCAAACTTGGCAGCAAACAACATTTTAAAATAGTTGTTTGTTCTTTTTTGTTTAAGAACTGAATATGGGGCTAGGGGTAGAGCACAGTGGTGAGGCAAATGCCTACTATGCACCAGGCCCTGGGTTCGATCTCCTGCACCCACCCTCTCAAAAAAGAACTAATCTGTCACACAAATGCAATTTAACATAGAACTTAATATGAAATGCTCTGGAAAAAATGTTTCTGGGGAATGTATTTTATATGAATATTCATTTCACTGGTGACTACCTGGCTCATTGATAGTGTGATAAATGTGAATTGATACTGGGGTTTTACTTACTACTCTGAACTGTTCTAACTTCTGGTTGCCTTTGATAAAAAAAGGGCATTCTTTGTCACCCGTTCGGTGACCATACCGTTTGCATCGCCAACCTAAAAGAGAAAAAGGGAAATATTTCTGTAAGATAACAGCTCCACCTCATCCAGATTAAATTAAAGTTTTTCTTAATTAGACTCCCATTCTAAAAGCAAAGGTAGTCAGTAAACTATGAATGGAAGATCAGAGAAAACAGAGGTAAACTAATTGCTTTCACAGACATCCTTAAATCTTAATAATAAGCTTTAGAAATAAATATTCCATCATCAAGTATTTACAAAGCAATCCAATGCAAAAGTACCATAAAAGGAAAATTTATTTTTATATACTTCACTCTATTTTTTAGAGCAAATCTTTTCCATTCATCATTCATCAAGTGGCTCTGATTCATTCTTTCTTATTTAATTATTTATTTATACGTACCAGGGATTAAATCCAGGGGTATTTAACCACTGAGACACATTCCCACCCCTTTTAATTTTGAGACAGGGTCTTGTTAAGTTGCTTAGGGCTTTGCTAAATTGCTGAGCCTGGTCTTGAACTTGTGATCCTCCTGCCTCAGCCCCCAAATCCCTGGAATTACAGGTGTGTGCCTTCATGTCCAGCTGATTCTTATTTATAAATCACAGTTCTCTTAAAAAATGTTAATGCCATTACAACCCTAGTGTGACTTTCCCTGCAGAACAGGGAAACTGTCCCATTTAAAGAGGCCCTTTATTAAAGGTAGCAAAACATAAGGAGGAGTCATAAGGCAATATATAACATGTGTCAAGGCAACACAGGAAAACACATCTTCAAGGAATTTCAATGATCATGAACTTGACATCATGTATTGAGATCTAAAGGGAAGATGAAATGGTGAGTAAAGCAGGAATGGAGAGACTTCTCTGACCTGTTTTATCTTCTCAGATCCATCTGGATATGAGGCAAATCATGAAACTGTATGGGAATAGTGACATAAGTCAGAGTCTGTGCTTGGGTATCAACCAAGGAAGTCAGGAAGCAGGAAAGGAGATCATGGGTGAGATTAGCCAATTTCCCTTCAAGCTGGCAACTATGGAAAATAGTCAAAGAGGAAGAGATTTCCCTTTTATTTTTATTTGAGGGTTGGATTCAGGAAAACATTAAAAAGAATCAATTTTGGGAGCTCATCATGGATGGCCTCTGAACTGTCCCTGTGTCTATCTACCCCATCCTTTGATGTATGGAAAGGACTAACTTCATTTAAGCCAATTGCCTTCTGTATAGTAAAACTGAGGTGAGGGGCTGTGAAATGCCATGGATCTAGGTTAACATGTAGATGTCTACCATTTTAATTCAAAATTCTCTTAGAATTAAAGGAATCCTTGAAATACCAAGTGTGATTCACAGCAAACTTGACAACACAAGGAGACTGTTAGTAATGCAGACTATCCTCCCCTCAAAAATACTAATAAATAATCTGAATTTTACAAGATTAATTGCTTTCTAGGCACAGTGGTGCTTGCCTGAAATCCCAGTGACTCGTGAGACTGGGAATATAGCTTAGTGGTAAAACACCCCTACATTCAATCCACAGTAACAACAACAACAACAAAAGGATTGTTGATTTGCAGACAAATCAAAGGGTGAGAAAACTTTAGAGTTAACACCAGAATCAGTGAATATAATGAAAGTGTGTACATGTATGTGCTTGTGTGCGCGCGTGCACCTTTTTTCCCATCTGGGATGAATCTAAGTTTTGTGAGACCTGAACCTTGTATCACTGTGAGGAGGAAGGGGGGGATTAGAAGGGCTATTTAGGAAACAAATGCAAAAATATCTTCCCTTGGAAAATTATACAACATCATATAACCACACAAACATATTAAAGAAATCCCGATAGGCCTTTTAAAAAAAATGTCAGGGCAACTAAAGCTTATGCTTCATTAACTTCTCAATTAAAAAAATATAAGTGAAATACAACTAACCCACCTCATTACACAGAGAAGTGGTATTTAAGCTTTTTAAAGAAAAGCTATAGGGGCTGGGTTTGTGGCTCAGTGGTAGAATGCTCTCCTAGCATGTTCAAGGCACTGGATTTGATCCTCAGCACCACATAAAAATAAATAAATAAAATAAAGGTATTGTGTCCAACTAAACTAAAAAAATATATATTAAGAAAATAAATTGGGCTGGGGATGTGGCTCAAGCGGCAGCAAGCTTGCCTGGCATGCGTGCAGCCCAGGTTTGATCCTCCGCACCACATACAAACAAAGATGTTGTGTCTGCCGAAAACTAAAAAATATTAAAAATTCTCTCTCTCTTTAAAAAAAATTTTAATTAATTAATTTAATTAAATTTTAAAAAAAAGCTATAAACTTCTGGGTGATGACAAATACTCATCTGCTTTCTTCCCCTTCCTGAGATTCCACAAACATGACAACTAAGGAAATTTGTTTACACGATAATGTACCAGGAGGTCTCTCAAGCATGTCCAAGTGTATAAATCTGTTCCTTCTTAAAAGTAATGAAAATATAGTTACAAATTGGACCACAACAATTTTATAAACTCTGTAAGTTAATCAAAGGCTTGCCCCAATCAGATAAACATCATTTTAAGGAAACTACAGAACCACAGTGAGAATAATAGATTTCTAGTATTTGAAGTGGGCCTACTCCCAGTGTTCATTCTTTTCTAGTTTTGTAAAAATCAGCAACAATGCCAACATTCAGGAATCAGATTGGTTTTGTGCCCCTCAAAAGACTATTACCGAGATCACTGTCACTATTTGAACTGTCTCACAGTTGCCTGGGAAGGGAACATCTATACACAGTATTGTTATTTGGTCATGTCTTTCACTTTATAGGAAAAGCCTGATCCCCAGATCTTTGTTGAAAATAATCACTTGCAGTTGTTTAACATTACAGCCTAAGGCTGTTGCACACTTTGTACACTGTAGTATGTAACTTGCATATTATGAGAGTGTTATTTAAACTCTTCTACACTCACATTGCATAACTTTGACTTCTTTCCCCAGTGGCATCCAAAGTCCTTTAGTTGGCGCATGAGCCAGAAATTCTCTGGCATGTTCATTGCCTGGTACATCAGGAATACAGTCTTCTGGCTTAGTCTCATCTTCCTAAATGAAGGAAACAATGTGTAAACAACATGGCAACAAAGCATTAGAAGTTTGTCCCTCCTTCCTAGCAACCCAATATTGCCTTGCTTTCTCTTCTGCAGTTGGTCCCAATGTCATCTTCAATCATCCCCATGAACAAGAGAGAAAGACAAATTATACCTGATAGATGGGACAGATGAGACTGGACACTGAGGAATTAGCAGGAAGCAGGTTTATTGGCTGCAGCCAGATTCAAAAGGGGGGCTTTCGCCATAGTCCATCAATCCCTCTGAACCCAGAGTTCAGAAAATTTTAGAACTTTATACCCAGTGTTAGGGGGACAGGCTCAGAGGCTCATAATCTGCAGAATTCCATATAACAATAGTTTTTTTTTTTCTGGGCAACCAATTCAGGTCAAGGACACTCTGAAAATCAGTGCCTGGGAAAGGGAGAGTTTCCCTCCCCATTTCTTGTCAGCTGGCTTCCCAGCCAAAGCAAACGCCTCTGTGAAGGCCTTGGGTTAGTCTTACTTATCAACTCTGCTTCTGCAAGTATACCCCCCACCTGAAAATTAAAAAAAAAAAATTGTTTTCTTTTTAGTTGTAGATGGACACAATACCTTTATTTTGTTTGTTTTTATTTTTATGAGTTGCCGGGGATCAAACTCAGTGCCTCATGCTTGCTAGGTAAGTGCTCTACCACTGAGCCACAGTCCCGGCCCCCTGAAAATCCTTTTGCATAAGTTCTGTTGACAGTCTAAGAACAATTATGGTGAGGGTCTCTGGAGAAGCTTAAGTAAGATTTTTCTGTGGAGGAGAGGTTGCCATTACAGTAGGAAAAACAGGAAATCAATGTAGGAGAAGAACTACACCAAAAAAACAACTTTCTGCATAAAACAAAACCAAACTTTACTGCAGGAAAGTTATAGGAAAGCACAAGTATGTCCTTCACACAGGAATGATTTATGAGCGACACATTCTGATGTAAATTAGATGCAAAGATCAAAAAAAGGTTTCATTCCCTCAAAATGTGTGGAATCAGACAAGGCATAAAATTGAAGTGGGGGAAGCATGCAGCTCTATGGTAGAGTGCCTAGCATGTATAAGGCCTGGGTTCTAACGCCAGCACCACCACCACCACCACCACCACCACCAAAAAAAAAAAAAAAAAGTAAACCAGGTTTTCTGTAATAATAGGATAGTATTTTATATTAGAACAGTTCATTATGGCCCAACACAGCAGTGCACATTTGTGATCCCTAATCCCAGCTACCTAAGAGGCTGAGGCAGGAGATTACAAATTCAAAGCCAGCCTGAACAACTTAGCGAGACCAAAATGAAAAATAAAAAGGGCAGTGGATATAGTTCAGTGGTCGAGAGAGTACTCCTGAGTTCAATCTAGTACCCTCCCAACCTAAAAAAAGAAAGTTATCAATCACAAGAGGTCTTTTGGCTTCACCTACTACTCTAGTCTCCCTCATGCAGAGAAACACCCTGACAGCGTGGCCACGGAGCTGGGAGATGGGTCCCTGTTCAGGGAGGCTGGAGTAGATGCGCTCTCAGGTCTCCTGAGAGGCTGCTCTTTGAGCTGAAGATATTCAAGACCCCAGCATGGGGTGTACTGAGGAGCTGGCCAGGTAAGGTAGGCAAGGAAAATGAGGCAGCAGTGCAACCAGTGAGAGAAGGGGAGCTATAGCCCAGGAACAAACACATATGAACAAATGAACACACACACACACACACACACACACACACACACACCTGCACACACACGTGCTGCGCCTGGCTGGTTCTCTAGGGAAGGTAACACATTTGATAAAATTTCCACAGAGGCACAAGGCCCCAAATTAGGACCTGTCTGGCATCTGCAGGGAAGAAACAGTTATTTTCATAAAAGGAGATTTAAAACTTATACAGACATTTTTCGTAACAAGTTATTGAGTGTGTTAAGTATGTTTCACAGAATAACCAGAGTAAAAACTTCACACTAACCTTAATAAGCCCAGGAGGAGGTTTTTCATAGCTAAAAAAGAAAAAACAAGAAGCAAAACTTCATTAACCACATTAATAGGAGCATAACACTTCACTGAGCTACAGGTAGCTGCCAGGTCAGAATAAAAGGATATTTGTAGTAAAAACTTAAAATTACATTCTTTCTATATCAGTTAATAAAATATGTTCAGCACTCAAGATCCCATGTAAATAAAGTGATCCTGCAGAGAACTACATCTTAAATTCACTGAAATAATAACATTATCCCACTGTAATGATTTTATTTTGGAAAAAGGGAAAGAGATTGTAGAAAGAAAGTGAAGTAGGAAGAGTATGGGGTAGTCTGGTTCCAGAACATAAGGGTGGTTTTGTCAGGTTGCCTACCCAGCATAACATCCACTACTCAACAAGGAACGGGCTCTTGGGGGAAAGGCAATCACGTATTCCAGCACAGTTAGGGCCTCTGTCCCAGAGGCCCCTTTGCCCTGGCTTCTACCTACCCCACAACAGAGCCATCAGGAGCAACTTCTCAGCTCTGACAGCCTTCCATTCCTATGCTGACCACCCTGAACTTAGCCTGCAGGACCACTGCTCGGTGCCCCATCCATGGGGTACAGTCAGGACCATCACTGCTATATCAGTCTACTGTGGGGCCTTCTTTCTATTCACCAACAAGCTCTGGGACCACCAGGGCCTGGGCTCCTGGTTCATTTTCACTTTTCACCATTCTGCTGAAACAGCCTGAAAAGGCTGCTAGATTCTATGTTTAGAAAATCAGCACCAGATGCTCGTGTTCATTTTTAAGTAATGACACATAAACACACGCTATCAAACACAGCGTGGGTGTTAGTGTTTAGTCACGAATGCCTAATGGACCAAAAAAATATATAAAAAGGGAAGAAAGAAGGCAAAACTACGGTATGACTCAGGTCTCTTCAATGCCTCCATGTGGAACACTTTACTGAAAGAGGTCTATCAGGGCACTGAGGCTGCCTTAAGAGTATATCTAGACTCTAGATAAAGTTGGAAATGTGGGAGCCCCCAAATTGCTGAACAAGTAATGAAAGCTGGAGTGATGATTTTCTGTTTCCATAACAGAAATATTAAATCTGATCATCAGAAAAACACTAAAAAATGTTAAAAGAGTGAACTAGATACTGATAATAGGATAATCATCTCCATAATAGTTTGGTCTACAAAGTAGTACCTGCAAAACAGTGTACTTGGTACAGGAAAAGGGACATTATATATGACTATGTATAGATAGGAGGGACCTTTATTTTTCATTCTATATACATTTACACATGTAGTGAACTTTCCACAGATGTCCCTTGCTGGACTATGACCTTTCTGGCCTATGATTTAGAAAACTTTGTTTCACTTCTGGCTGTGGAGTGGGTATATCAGCTTTTAGACAAGTCTACCCCCATCTTCTCCAAGCCTCATAAAATATGTCTTGGGCTGGGGTTATGGCTCAGTGGTAGAGCACTTGCCTCGGTGCGTGAGGCACTGGGTTCGATTTTCAGCACCACATATAAATAAATGAATAAAACTAAAGGTCCATAAACAACTAAAGAAAAAAATTTTAAATGTCTTATTTTTCTTTAAGTTATTTTGTTAGAGCCTCAGAACAAGCAGAGGGTGCCTGGTGAGGTGGCGTATTCCTGTAATTCCAGCAGATCTGGAGGCTGAGACAGGAGGATCACGAGTTCAAAATCAGCCATGGCAATGGCAAGGCACTAAACAACTCAGTGAGACCCTGTCTCTAAATAAAATACAAAATTGAGCTGGGGATGTGGCTCACTGATTGAAGACCCTGAGTTCATTCCCTGGTACCAAAGAAAGAAAGAAAGAAAGAAAGAAAGAAGCAGAGGGTGACCCATAGGCTTTGACCTCGTATCCCAGTGGTAAAGCTGATCTATACACTTAAGAGGTAGAACTGGGACAATTACCCAGACCTCATGACATGTATTTTGTTGTTGTTTTTATTTTCTGATGACAGGATTTTTATTTGCAAAATAAAGTGTTAACAAACAAGAAAATAAATCTGCTACTGTGTACATATGATAAATGAGAGAATGAACAACTGTAACAAAACCATTCCAACAATCTTCTCTGAGCCTGACAGCAGAACTATCAACCTGTTTTCTAGAAATATTCTATTATGAAACCTATCATTTACCCAATTTTCCACTAACTTGACTTTCATGTCAAGTTTTTTAAAAATATCAATAATTAAGTATAAATGAAGTAGATATTGTAATCTAAAAGATATAAATATTTGGGGCTGGGGTTATGGCTCAATAGTAGAACACTCGCCTAGCAAGTGCGAGGTACTGGGTTCGATCCTCAGCACCACATAAAAAATAAATATATAAATAAAATAAAGGCATTGTGTCCAACTACAACTAAAAAAAAAAAAAAAGATATAAATATTCAACATCTGTAAAAATCAAGCAATAACCATATGCTCTATACATATGTCTCACTTTAAATACCAATACACCAATAGGGTAAAAGCAAAAAATGAGGAAAGTAAGCATGAGAAATCTGAAGTAGACCTATTAATATAAAATTTCAAGAAAAAGATATTCAGAGATAAAGGGGGAATATTTCATAACCATAATAGGATAACTTCTTCAAGAAAGTATAACAATCCTAAATGTGTATATACCTAATAACAAAATTTCAAAATACATGCAGTAAAAATTTATAAAACTAGAAAGACAAATCCACAATCATATTTGGAGATTTTAAACCCCCTCACTTTGCTGGAAGACCCTGTCTTGATAGAAGGATTAAAACATTATCAGCCACCTTTACCTATTTGTTATTTATAGAGAACTATACACAAAAATGACAAGTAGAAAATTAATAAGGATAGACTATATTCAAAATAAGCTTTGAAATTTAAAACATTTGAAATCATGCAGACTGTTTCCTGCATGATTTATTACATTAGAAATCAATCACCTTAAAATACATAGAACCCCACCTCCATGTCTCAACTACTTCAAAATTAAATGGCACACTTATAAATATCTCATGGGTCAAAGAAGAAAGCACAAGAAAAGTAAATAAAAAGTGCTTTGAACTATGAGATAATAAAGTTTAAAATATAAGAATCTCTGGAATGAAATAATACTCAGATGAACACTTATAACTTAAAGTACTTGTACCAAAAAAAAGCAAGATAAACAATCAAATTAGTTTCAAACTAGGTAGCAGGAAGGAAAAACTAAGTAGAAGCAGAAATATATGAAATAGAAAAGAAATAATAAAGCTAAAAAGTTGATAAAAATCTTAACAAGTCTAATCAAGAAAAAAGAAAAAACACAAAAATTAATATCAATGGAAAGGGAGCTATTAAAACAACTCTATAGATGCTAAAAATATATTAAGGTGATATTACAATTATATGCCAACATGTGATAGCTTACATAACATGCAGACCTCATGACATCTGGAGTTCTGTTAAAATAAATTTGGCTGAAAGCTCCCTCTCTGTACAGAGTAAATTGTAACCTAACTTAATATGTAAACAAACTGCAACATAACTTGAAAGTTTATTCTAAAAACAAGTGGCTGATTCTTAGCCAATCAAAGCATCCAAGATTTCAGCTAATCACAGAGTACAAACTCCCAAAACATGTTCATCTAAGGCTAATGTCAACCTATAACCAATCAAGTGGTTTCTCCTGTCATTTTTTTCCCCATGTATAAATACTGACAGACCACATGAGTAGATGTAGGTCTTTGAACATTTACTGGTTTGGTGGTGTTATAATTTGAATCTGAAATGTCCTATGAGGCTCATGTGTTGAAGGTTTAGGCACATGGCCAGTCAGAGTGAAGCAGCTGGGTAGTTCCAAAGCTGTTGCCCAGTACCCACATGCCAGCCCCATGTCAAGCCCCACCTGTACAGGACTGATAGTAGATGTGCAGCTGGAATCCAAGAATTATTCTAGTATCATGTTTGTCACTGGTTGGGGACAAAACACACCAGGAAGCTGGGCACTGTGGCACATGCCTATAACACCAGAAATTCGGGAGCTGAGGCAGGAGGATTGTTAGTTCAAAGCCAGCCTCAGCAAAAGTGAGATACTAGCAACTCACTGAAACCCTGTCTCTAAGTAAAATACAAAAATAGGGCTGGGGATGTGGCTCGGCTCAGTGATTGAGTGCCCCTGAGTTCAATCCCTGTTACACAAAAACTAAGACAAAACAAAACAAAAAACCCCCACCAGATTCTAATAAGTGTTTTTTTGGAGGGGTGGGGGGCCGGTAAGGTGGGGAGTTGCTTTTTTTTTTTTTGAGACAGGGTCTCACTAAGTTGCCAGGCTGGCCTTGAACTATGCAATCCTTCTGCCTCAGCCTGAAATTATAGGCTTGTGTCACCACACCTGGGTTAGACTCTTCACATTTGCAGCAAATGTCTGATGGGTAGCTAAGAGCAGGATTAAAGAAACAGAAATTGGTAATAAAGGTGTCTTTGTATCAGAAGAGTTGCTCCTAGACAACCTTTATCAACTGGGATACTTTTATGTACATGTCAAGGAACCTTTATTCCCCATGAGACAGGGACTGAACCAGGGACCAGAAGGCTGAGCCCATAAGCTGGAGAACATCAGGCCAGAAGGAAAGGGCTTTCTACAGGCTGTTTCTATGTGCACAAAGAACAACTCTCAGGCTCTAAAAGAGTCATATCGCTTCCTCAAAAGTAAAACATAAACTATTTTTTAGCTTAGATCTGTGCCTTAACCCTCCAAATCTCCAGGGAGCCAATCATTTCAATGTTTTAATATTTTCTTCATCATGACTGACTGTCTTATCCACTTTTACTGCTATTATAGAATACCAAAGGCTGGATAATTTTAAGGAAAAGAAACTTCTTTCTTTTCTTTCTTTTTGGCACTGGGGATTGAACCCAGGGGCACTCTGCCACTGAGTTTACATCCCCAGTTCCTTTTTATTTTTAATATTAAGATAGGGTCTCACTAAATTGCTGAGGCCAGCCTGGAACTTGGGATCCTCCTGCCTTAGCCTCCTAACTTGCTGGGATTACAGGCATGTGCCACTGTACCTGACAGAAATGTATTTCTTACAGTTCTGGAGGCTGGAAAGTCCAGGACTGAGGGGGCCCACATTTGGAGAGGGCCTTTGTGCTGTATCATCCCATGATGGAAGGATAAAAGAACATACATGCAATAGAGAGCAAGTGAGGGCCTCCAAACTTTTCTAACCGTCCCACTCCCAAGATAAGGTCATTAACCCATTCATGAAAGCAGAGCTCCCACGACCTAATGCTCTTTTAGGCTCCACCTCCCAACACTGTTGCCCTAGGAATTAAATTTCCGCATGTGAGCTTTGGGGGACACATTGATTCTATAACATCCTTATGTACTGACTTTATGAACTCCTTATGTACTTTATGTATTCCTGACTTTAAAGAACTTTTTTTTAAAAATATTTTTTTAGATGTATGGACCTTTTATTTTATTCATTTATTTATATGTGGTGCTGAGAATTGAACCTAGTGCCTCACACATGCTAGGCAAGCCCTCTACCACTGAGCCACAGCCTCAGCCCCTAAAGAACTTTTTGAACAGAGTAAATATCAGAGGTGATTAGGGAGAACGAACCCGTTGTTCATCGCCAATGTGTAGTAGAAAAGAATTTTGCTGCCAGGTGTGGTGGCGTACACCTGTAATCTCAGCGGCTCCAGAGGCAGAGACAGTAGGATCACAAGTTCAAAAACCAGCCTCAGCAATTTAGTGAGGTGCTAAGCAACTCAGTGAGACCCTGTCTCTAATAAAATACAAAATAGGGTAGGGATGTGGTTCAATGGTCAAGTGCCCCTTTGTTCAATCCCTGGTACCCCCCCCCCAAAAAAAAAATTTTGCCAGCTGATGGATGAGAAATGTTATAAATGGCTACAGCAACACAGCCTTCTTTTTGGCTTCATCTGTGGAGCCTTCCAAAGGACTGATCAAACCCTCACCATCATTTACCCAGAGCTTTGCTAAGGGGTAGAGGACAACTTAGCCTCTGAAGAATACATAGTAAATAACTAGGTATAAGAATTAGCTGTTTAGGTATAGTACAATGTTTTTCTATAGCAAATACTTAATAATTTCTAATGGAAAACTGTGTTTCTAATGGAAAACTGTGGAGTATGATAAGCAAGAATAGAAACCTATATAACATGGGAAAATGATACAGTCCATCTGAAGCCACTAACCAGAAATATTAATGCTATGCCTTATGCATAGAAACCTAAAAGAGTTTGTGTGCACTGGTGTATGCCTGTAATCCCAGTGACTCAAGAGGCAGGAGGATAGCAAGTTCAAGGGCAGCCTGACAAAAACGAGACCCTGTCTCATAATAAAAAGGGTTGGGAATGGGCTGGGGTTGTGGCTCAGCGTTACAGCGCTCGCCTAGGATGCGCAAGGCCCTGGGTTCAATCCTCAGCACCACATAAAAATAAATAAATAAATTAAATAAAGTTATTGTGTCCAACTACACATGAGCTTATTGTACATTATGGCTTCTGACTGTGAAAGATCTTTGCTATCTTTGAAGTCAGTTCTTAAAAAAAAAGAGTCCATTATTTTGCATGATTTGTAAAGAAAACTTACTATTAAATTATTTAGAGTCTAGTAAGTTGCTCTTAGGGGAAGATTAAATTTAGATAACAGGAGGCAAATGTATTCTTCCAAGGCAGTATGTGGGGAGAAATCCTTATTTTGCCAGCTATTTTAAAATACTGTTTGTGGGATATGGTTTCTTTTAGAGGGGTCCTCCCTGAAAAACATATTCCATTGCACCCAGTTGTATCTGAAGCTGTTTCCTACAGAGTTGGAAACTGGGTGAAAACAGATGCCTTATAAAACCTGGCAGGTATGAAAAAAAGGCAAAAAAGTAAGATCAAATTTTAGAATGTAGAGTAAGGCTAGAGTGGAGTAGGGAGACCTAAAGAGGAATCATCACAGAGAAAAAGGTCTTGAATTTTATAAAAAAACACTATGAGGGCTGGGGGTGTAGCTCAGTGGTAGAACACTTGCCTAGCACGTGTGAGGCACTGGGTTCGATCCTCAGCACCACATGAAAAAAAAAAAAAAAAAAAAAGAAGGTATTGTGTCCATCTACAACTTAAAAAGATATTTAAAAAACCTCACTATGAGATATCCCATTAAAATGAGGCCTACAAATTACCTTGTTATATTGTATGCATGTATATGTAACAATAAATCCTATCTTTTTTTTTTTCCCCCTGGGGTACTGGGGATTGAACTCAGGGGCACCAGACCACTAAGCCACATCCCCAGCCCTATTCTGTATTTAGAGACAGGGTCTCACTGGGTTGCTTAGGGCCTCGCTAAATTGCTGAGGCTGGCTTTGAACTCACAATTCTCCTGCCTAAGCCTCTCAAGCCCCTGGGATTACAGGTATGTGTCACTGTGCCTGGCTAACAAATTCCATCTTTATGTACAACTACAATGCACCAGTAAAAAAAACTTGGAAATAAAATAACATGGGGCCTGACCAACTTGCTTATCTACTTTCCCTCCCTAAACCCCCTTAAAATTCCAGTAAAACTATAAGTAAGCAGCCACAAAGAAAACATGGGAGGAGAAAAAGGGCAGAGAAGAATTATAAGAAAAAATTGGTAAGACCATGTCTGATTAGCTACTTTGTTACAACATTTGGAAGATGGGAGCTGGGAGGGAGGGGCTGAAGCCTCCAGTGTTATCTTTCTTTACTGCCTCAGGAGATCTAACTGCCCAACCCTTGAAAGAAACTGCAGGCTGAATCCTCTGAGAAAGAACTGGAGAGGCCAAGCTGCATAGGAATACTGGAGATCTGAGAATGGGGCTGAGCACTTGGAAAACCTGTTGAGTCTTAGTGTGAACTCTGCAATGCTCTGCTCCTTCCCCTGTCCCAGAACACTGGCAGCCAGGCACATCTCTGGCATTGAGACATAAGGTTGTTAGTTTAGTCTTTGAAACAAATGGGTCCCAGGAAAAAGCTCCATTTACTGAAATGTGGGGGTTTCCCCATAAGAAGGGGAGATTACAGTTTGGTTTCTCTACAGGGAAACTCACTAGTCATCAGTTTAGGACCTTTGCTTTATTTCTCTCCTTAACAGCCCCCTTCCAAATGGCATTATGGAGCTTCACTCTAAAATATGAGGGAGACCCCAGGATCCCTACATATTAGAATTAAACCTCTACCTGAAACACTAAAAGAAAATGCAAAGAGCAAGGAATGGTGGTACATGCGTGTAACTGCAGCTACTAGGAAAGCTGAGGCAAGGAGGATCACAAGTTGCAGATCAACTTAGAGCCTGTGCAACTCAGGAAGAACTGTCTCAAAAGAAAAAATGGTTAAAAGGGCTGGGAATGTAGCCCAGTGGTAGAGTGTTCCTGGGTTCAATTCCCAATGCCACAAGAGAAAAAGAAAGAAAAAGAAAAAAAAAGCAGAGAAGATACAGGCGATAAGGTAGAAGAAAATCATAAAAGGAAAAAAGAAAACTAATGGGTAATCCTTAAAATTCAGTTAGATATAATATTGACAAAATAAGAGAATGTCCACAAAAAGGCAATATTCAAACATTTAGAAGTGGTGGTGTACACCTGTAGTAGAGCTATTGCTGAGCCTAAGGCAGGAGGATTGTTTCGGAGAGCAACATATGAAAATGCTGTCTCAAAAAAGAACTCTCAGCTCCCTGACGCAGCACGTGAGAGCGAAACCAAAGCTTCAGGCTCACAGACAAGTGCTCTAACATTGCGGTACACCCAATCCCGGAGTTTTTTCATTTTTTTTCTCTCCAGGTATTGGGGATAAAATTCTAGGGCGACACTCTACCACTGAACTACAATCCTTTTGCCTTTATTTTTTATTGTGAGACAAGGTAAGTTGCTCTGTCTAGTCTGGAACTTGAGATCCTCCAGCCTCAGCCTCCCGGCTTCCCTGGCTCTTTCTTGGCGTCTCTAAACTAACATGGCTTTTCCCTTCTCAGAGTGTTTTATGCCCATGTGGCGGAGCCCACTCAAAGAACCTAGAAGGGCAGATTCAGATTCCACTTGACTCTGCTCTGCCGCCCGCGCTCTCCAGGTCATCTGGACTCCTGGAGGCCTCTGGAGTCTGGACCCGGCCCGGACTCGAAGGACTGCGGAGGCGCCACCCTCGCCGACCCCGCCGCCAGCCTCGGGACGCTCAAGGCCAGCTCTTGGGCGAGTCTTCAGGTCTCCAGTCTCCTCCCCGTAGCACAGCGACATGCCCCGGGCTCCTCTTCCCTCTTAACGGCCGAGGATGAAGGGTCGGGGGTCGCCCCTTCGCGGTGGGCCATCAAAGGGAAACGAGGAACCACAGGCCCCAAAGTGCCTGGCGGGGCGTGTTCGTCACTCGGTCCACCACGCCGCCCGCGTCCCCGAGACGTGGCTCCTCCTGGCGGCGGCCGGGACACGCGCGCGGCCTCCCCGGAGCCGACACCGCCCTCCATGTGTGCGGGAGGTGCCTCCGGGGCCCGGGTCTGCCGCTCCCATGAACGAGGCTAAGCTCCCGGGCGCCGGGCCGCCACTCTTCGCGCAAAGGAGGGGCCTGACGCGCAGGCCCGCGTCGCCGGGTCCCCGGCTCCAGCCGCGGCCCAGAGGGCAGGGACCGCCCGGCCCGGCCTGGCGCGCAGCCCCCTCCCCGCGAGGGGCGGCGGCGCCCCGCAGACTCACAAGGACTCCAGGTGTTTGAGCTGCTGCAGCTGCTGCGCGTCGTGTCGCCGCCGCTTCTGCTCCCGGCGCCGCTGCAGCTCCTGCTCCGCCGGCTCCCGCTGCCGCCGCACGCCCCGCGCCCCCGCGTCGTCGCGCCCCGGCCGGGAAGACATCGCAACTCCCACACGCGGCTCGGGTGGAGGCCGCGGCCAAGATCGCAGCGCCCCCTCCCGCCGTCCCGCGACCCGCCGGCCGGGAGCCGGGGGCCGGTGTCCCAGCCGAGGCCGTAAGGCCCCCGCCTCCGCGCGGCGGCCTCGGAGTTCGGGCTTCCCAAGTCCCTGTCTCCGACCCCAGGCCGGGTACTCTGGCGCCCGCTGGCGACGACCTCGAGCAGAGACGGGCGGGGGGCGGGGCGGAGCCTAAGGGAGCTTCCTGACCCAAGCTATAAAGGGGCGCACCCTTTTGTGGGCCTGGGCCCCCGTGCAAGTCACTTGTGTGTCCCTCAGGGGCTGGACACGCTACACACTCATATTAGTGGGATTCATCCATTTTTGGAGGAAAGTACATGTATTCATATAAATTTTGGAGTTTCACAGATCATGTGATCTGTGGTCAACAGTCAACGTTTATTGTGTTTACAAAGGTTTGGGTGCCGGAAGTTAGCTAAGACCTTAAACAATTTAAGGCTTAATTTTTATTTAGTTATCTATTATTTATTTATTTATTTTTGAAGTACTGGGAATTGAACCCAGGGCCTCATGCATCCTAGGAAAAGTGCATTACCACTATTCTACATCCCCAAAACTCCCAATGTAGTTTCGATTTGCATTTCCCCCAATGACTATAGATGTTGGACATTTTTTCATATATTTGGTGGTCATTTGTATTTCTTCTTTAGAAAAGTGTCTGTTTAGTCAGGTGTGGTGTCTCACTCCTGTAATTCCAATGACTGGGGAGGATGAGGCAGGTGGATTGCAAGTTCAAGGGAAGCCTCAGCATCTTAGCTAGACCTTGTCTCAAAATAAAAAAAATAAAAATAAAAAGGGTTGGGAATGCGGTTCACTGGTTAAGCACCTCTGGGTTCAATCCCTGGGAAGAGAGAGAGAGAGAGAGAGAGAGAGAGAGAGAGAACAGAAAGGAAAAAAAATCTAAAAATGTATTTAGTTCATTTGCCCTTTTTGGCAGGGGTAGGAGTGGGATGAGGGGAAGGGGCGTGGCGTTGCCAGGGATTGAACCCAGAGGGGCTTAATCACTGAGCCACATCTCCAACCAGTTTTATATTTTATTTTGAGACGGGGTCTTCTTAAATTGCTGAGGCTGGATTTGATGTTGTGATCCTTCCACCTCAGTCTCCCAAACTTGGGCTTATAAACCTGTGCCACCAGGCTCGGCTATTTTCCCCTTTATTGAAATTAATTATTGGGGTTTTTTAAAGTATTTTTTTAGTTTATATGAGGCGCTGAGACTCGATCTCAGGGCCTCATATATACTAGGCAAGTGCTCTACCCCTGACCACAACTCCAGCCCTTGGAGTTTTTTGTTTATTTGTTTGGTGTTTTTAGTTCTTTTTTTTTTTTTAATTTTTTATTGTGGGTTGTTCAAAACATTACAAATTTCTTGACATATCATATTCCACACTTTGATTCAAGTGGGTTATGAACTCCCGTTTTTAGTTCTTTATATATTATGGATATTAATCCTCAGTTGGAAGAGTATCTGGCAAAGATTTCTCCCATTCTGTAGGTTCTCCCTTCATGTTGTTATAAACCTTGCTGTGCAGAAGAGTCTTTAATGTATTTTGACACCAGACTGATGTTTCCTGATTGCTGGTCCAAAGTGATATGCTGGGTTTTGTAGTTAGTCCATGGCAGCATGATGAGCCCCACATCCCTAGAATTGGTTTGGTGCCAATATGAAAGGTATCACACATGCAGCTAGAGGTATGAAAAATTTTATTATTCACATATTGAGACTTTTTAGGAAAGCAGGTCAGGCACCTCCTCAGGTCAAAAAATGGCTTAAGAAAAGATGAGTGGCCCTGGGTTTTATTGTAGGTAGGAGGTGGGACTTGGTGGATTCTTCATGAACAAGGGCCCAAATGTTCTGTGGTTTGGACTTCCTTTTGGTGCCAAGGGGAGAGAAGCACATGGGCCCCTTTTTTAAAATCAGCTTTTCTGCTTGTGGAGCAGAAGATAAAGTGGAGATGGACCTTGAAAACTGACATCACCAGTGGAGTCAGCCAGACACAGTGATGCAACATATGTAGTTCCAGCTAAACTTGAGAGGTTGAAGGAGGAGGATCGTTTGAGCCCAAGGGCAATTTTTAAAATAAATAAATAAATAATAATAGTAAAAATAGCGGTAATAACAACAATAACAAACTCAGGACCATCTCAGATCCAGTCCAGTTCTCTAACAGTGACAGTCAATGCAATCACATTCATCAACCAATGAGACAAACAGAGATTCTTTCCCTGGTGGTTGTAATTTCTAAAAAGTTATTTTTATCATTACCCTTTAGTTTATGCCTGTAGCTCCTGGAGGGGTGCTCTCCAGATGGGAGAGAGAGTAAAAACGTTCTTAGTTAGCCAAGAATACGCTTACTTAACCCAAATAAAAACGATTTAAACTGGGTGCGGTGGGGCACACCTGTAATTTCAGCAGTTCAGTAGGCTAAGGCAGGAGGATTGTGAGTTTAAAGCCAGCCTCAGCAACTTAGTGAGGCCCTAAACTTCTCAGTGAGACCCTGTCTCTAAATAAAATATTAAAAAAAAAAAAATGGACTGGGGCTGGGGATATAGCTCAGTTGCTTGAGTGTTTGCCTTGCATGCACAAGGCCTGGGTTCAATCCTCCAGTACCAAAAAAAAAAAAAAAAAAAAAATTGGACTGGGGATGTGGCTCAGTGGTTAAATGTTGCTGGGCTCAATTCCCAGTACCAAAAATAAATAAATAAATAAAAATAAAATTACTTAAGTGAGGAAAAAAAAAAAAAAACTTGGTGGCATTCTTCACTTTGGATTCAGGCACAGACAAGGGAGAAACACTTTTTTGGTCCTTGGTCCTCCTTCTCTGTTGCATCCCCTTATCCACAATCCTTTCAATTTTTTTATTCTTCTGCCCCCTTCTTTTTGTTGTTGTTGTTTGTTTGTTTTTCTGCTTTTTTTCTTCTTTTTTTGGTGCTGGGGATCAAACCAAGGCTATGTGCATGTGTGGGTATTCAATCACTGAACTACACCCCCATCCCCAGGTTCATTCTTGAGGCCAGCCAAATGGCCTTGGTCTCACACTTGTTACTGGACAGGTTTTCAGAAGCATTACTAATCTATTCAGAGCAACCCAGAAAACACTAGAATTCTTCTGTTCATATAGACTACCTTTCATAGTGTAAACTTGATGCTATTACTTTGCTCCTAATGTCACCAGACTGGAGTCCAAGGACATCCTTCCAAGAGGGCAGTGGGACCTCACCTTGGCTCAGGTGGTTTCTTGACTTACACCACTGAAAAGAATTTCAGGACACATCCAAAGAAATGCACAGGCACGGTGGCTCAGGCCTGTAATCCCAGTGACTCAGGCAGGAGGATCACAAATGTGAGACCATCCTCAGCAATTTAGTGAGGCCCTGAGCAACTTAGTAAGAACCTGTCTTAAAAAAAAAAAGACACAGACACAGATTTATTAAAGGATAGCAAAGCAAATGTATACACATCCCATATGTATAGGAAAAGAAGAACTTAAATAACTCCACCAGAAAACTTCTGGAACTTGTAAATGAATTTAGAAAAGTAGCAGGATATAAAATCAATACCCATAAATCAAAGGCATTTCTGTATATCAGTGACAAATCCTCTGAGAAGGAAATAAGGAAAACTATCCCATTCACAATAACCTCAAAAAAAAAAAAAAAAAAAAAGATACTTGGGAATCAATGAAAGAGGTGAAAGTTCTATGCAATTAAAACTACAGAACCCTAAAGAGAGAAATCAAAGAAAACCTTAGAAGATGGAAAGATCTACCTTGCTCTTGGATAGGCAGAATTAATATTATCAAAATGACCATACTTCCAAAAGCACTATATAGATTTAATGCAATGCTGATAAAAATCCCAATGGCATTCCTCATAGAAATAGAAAAAGCAGTCATGAAATTCATCTGGAAAAATAAAAGACCCAGAACAGTTAAAGCAATCCTTAGCAGGAAGAGTGAAGCAGGTGGCATCACTAAACCAGACTCTAAACTATACTGCAGAGCAATAGTAACCAAAACAGCATGGTATTGGCACCAAAACTGACTGGTAGACCAATGGTATAAAATAGAGGACACAGAGACTAACCCACAAAATTACAATTATCTTATATTAGACAAAGGTGCCAAAAACATGCACTGGAGAAAAGATAGCATCTTCAACAAATGGTTCTAGGAAAACTGGAAATCCATATGCAACAAAATGAAATTAAACCACTATCTCTCACCATGCACAAAACGTAAATCAAAATGGATCAAGGACCTAGGAATTAAACCAGAGACTCTGCATCTAATAGAAGAAAAAGTAGGCCCTAATTTTCATCATGTGGGATTAGGCCCCAACTTCCTTAATAAGACTACTATAGCATAAGAATTAAAATCAAGAATCAATAAATGGAATGGAATCAAACTAAAAAGTTTCTTCTCAGGAAAAGTAACTATCTGTGAGGTGAACAGAGAGCCTATACCCTGGGAGCAAAATTTTACCCCTCACACATCAGATAGAGCACTAATCTCTAGGGTATATGAAGAACTCAAAAAGCTAAGCACCAAAAACAAACAAACAAACAACAAAAAAAAAAACAAATAACCCAAACAACAAATGGGTCAAGGACATGAACAGACACTTCTCAGAAGAGGATATACAATCAACAAATATATGAAAAAATGCTCATCATCTCTAGCAATTAAAGAAATGCAAATCAAAACTACTCTAAGATATCATCTCACTCTAGTCAGAATGGCAGCTATTATGAAGACAAACAACAATAAGTGTTGTAGAGGATGTAGGGGAAAAGGCACACTCATACATTGCTGGTGGGACTGCAAGTTGGTGCAGCCAATATGGAAAGCAGTATGGAGATTCCTTGGAAATCTGGGCATGAAACCACCATTTGACCCAGCTATCCCTCTCCTTGGACTATACCCAAAGGACTTAAAAATAGCATACTACAGGGACACAGCCACATCAATGTTTATGGCTGCACAATTCATAATAGCTAAACTGTGGAGCCAACCTAGATGCCCTTCAGTGGATGAATGGATTAAAAAAATATGGCA